CAATGTCAATGATGCTTGATACGTATTTCTGCTACACTTTACCCGATATTTAATATACATTATATAATTAAAATGTTAACGGAGGATTTTGACATTACCAACATAATTCCTAGAAAAACAAATTAAGAAAAACTACCAAATTGTGTCTGTTTCCTATGACATTTCGAATATGTTTGAAAATGTTTGCTATAAAAATGAAGCTTCAGTGATTAAGTAATCCAACCTGTTTTAAAAATTTGCTTGGAAGTACAGAAGAATCTTTTAAAAGTATTAGAATGTACAGACAAGGTATTATATAGAAAATTAATATTTATTTTTAAAAATTCAACATGTAACTTTTTTCTTGCTAATATTTCTAAGAGTCAGTAACTTCATAACAAAATAAGTAAAAAATTTTAGCAGTACAGATTTAAAGCAGACATTATAAATGACTTTCCTGCCAAAATCATTGCGTGAATTTATTCAACTGCAAAATGAGACTAAAATATTTTACCTACTCCCCTATGCTTGTTGAAAGAACTGAATGAGGTAGTACAGATACTCTCTGACCTAAAATAGTTTGCCTTCAGAATTTTTTAGCTTTACAATGGTGTGAAAGTGATATGTATTTAATAGAAACATTACTTCAAATTTTGAGTGTTGATCTTTTTCCAGGCTAGCAGTATGCAGCACCGTACTCTCGTGATACTGAATAGTGAGTCTCAGCGATCACGATAGGAAATAACCATATGCTGTGCTGGATGGTGTTGCTGACACTGCGATGTTCTGCAAATCAGGTGTATTAAATGCATTTTTGACTTAATTATGTTTTCAACTTAGTATTTGCTTATCAGGAGGTGAACCCATCATTAAGTAAGGAGCATCTGTAGATGACCTAGTGCGTATAATTTAAGCAATAATTATAATTCGAACAAGTATTATATTGAAAATTGTATCAATGCAGTTAAATGAGGGGACAGCTGGCTTATAATTTTAACAAATTACAATATCATGTAACAATTAATAATATGGGCTCCTCCCAACAAAAAGAAAACATCTTTAATCCTGCATTCTCCCAGGCTTCCTATGCTGAATCTCCAAAAATCTTGTCACTCTTCACTTACCGTTTTTTTTTTTTTTTTTGAAGTTTGTTTGTTTGTTTTTATTTAAAAGTCAGAGTTACGCAGAGAGAGGAGAGGCAGAGAGAGAGCGAGCGAGGTCTTCCACCTGCTGGTTGACTCCCCAGATGGCTGCAACAGCCAGAGCTGCGCCGATCCGAAGCCAGGAACCAGGAGCTTTTGCCGAGTCTCTCACGTGGGTGTAGGGGCCCAAGGACTTGGGCCATCATCTACTGCTATCCCAGGCCATAGCAGGGAGCTGGATAGGAAGTGGAGCAGCCAGGACTCAAACCAGCGCTCATATGGGATGCGGGCACTGCAGGCGGCGGCTTTACCCGCTATGCCACAATGCCGGCCCCTCACAGTTTTTAAGTTTACCTTTGGTTATTACATCAGGCACTAAACCTTCCAGTGTTTTATTTTGACACTGGTAAAAGACCTAAAGCATTTCACTATAAAGTCTGATAAAAATAGTATATGTAGCTTTACATTGTTAAGGGAATTCTTAAACTCAGCATGCACAACAATAAAATAACAGACACATAATTTTCAGTACATTATACTTGACAGTTCAGGCTGAGGTTAGAATTAATCATCTCAACTTAATCCCATCAAATAATAAATTATTTTAAACTCTAAGCTTTTTAGCACAGCAACTAAAGCAGCCTCCTGGGATGCTGGCATCCCATATGGGCCCCAGTTTGTGTCCTGGCTACTCCACTTCTGATCTAGCTCCCTGCTAATGGCCTGGGAAAAGCAGCAGAAGATGGCTCAAGTGTTTATGTCCTACCACCAAATAGGAGACATGAATGAAACTCTTGGCACCTGGCTTTGGCCTGGCCCAACCCTGGCCTTTGTGCAGTCTGGGAAGTGAACCAGCGAATGGAAGATTCCCCCACCCACCCCCCCTTTTCTGTCTCTCCTTCTCTCTGTAACTCTGACTTCCAAATAAATAAATAAATCTTTTTTAAAAATTGAAAAAAAAAAAAAAAAAACACTAAAGCCAAACAGGGATCGTTTCTTGTGGAAGCAACTTGGCTTACTCAGAGACTGATACTTCATATATACAGAAGTTATATGTAATTATGTGTGGATCCTTAATTATTCTCTGTGGTGCAATGAGAAGCCAGAAGGGGCAGGGATTGAAGTAAGGCATACAGTAAAGCCTGCCTCTAGAAATCTGTTTATTTTAAGACTTTGAAGGGATTAAGAAATCTCTTTTAAAATTTTTGAATAGCACTTCTATGTGGATTGGAAAGGAATAACAGAAATCTTTTGTACAAATCTGATTTTAGGCAAGCCTGAAGCACAAACAGATTTTGAATAGTACCACAATAATTCCTTTTATAGTTTTTAAAGGGTTTTCACTTATGTTCTTTCATTTGATCTTTTCAATGACCAAATAAGGTAATTATAAAGAAAAATCTTCAAACTGAGGAGTAACTTGCTGCTGTAAACATCCAAGGGAATGTGGCAGGCAGTACTCCTTGTCACTTTCAAAGGGCAGGGCCTTAGGGTAGTTCCTTTTCTACCAAACACCAGCAACAACATTTTTAAAGGTTCTATGCCCTGTAGTAACTCCCACTTCACACAAACACACAAGCACACACAATTAGATCGGCAAAGCAACCTTACTAATGTGATAGCATCTCAGAGGTACAAATTATATAAATTAAACTAGCTAAGTCTAATGTCAGTTCTTTTAGCTGGTGACTAATTAACACAAATCAAACTCCAAAAAGTGTCAGAAACTTTCTTTTCAAGATTATGTACATTTTTAACTCTAGCTTGATAGGAGCTCTCCCAGGCTGAAACTTTTAACAACTACTTCCTGCCATCTCATACTTGATTCACAAACAAAGCCATCAAATAGCTAGGAATAAACCTAAAATTTTTAGAGGAACAACTGAGAAAGCCTGAAGATCTAAGTAAGGAGCAAGAGAAGAAGAGAGGCAATATGTTCTTCATATTATAAGGTGTGTTACTTGGCAAATAAAGTAACTCTTTTAAGCCACCAAGGTTCTCAATCTACCAGAAAAAGAGACACAGATAAAAAATAAATAAATAAATAAATAAATAAATAAATAAATAAAATCTCTTTGTAATGTTAAATCTCACTTGAAGCTATCCATGTGAACTCATGATATATATTTATTTTTCTTGGCTGTCTACTGAGGAAATAACATCTGAAGGGTAACAAGTTTATTAGATCTTAGGTTCCTAATATCATTTCCAACCAAAAGGAACCACAGCCCCTTAAAACCTTATTGATTTCAGGTCTGGGACAGGTAAAAAGTACAGGTATACTTGGGACATCCTTTTTTTTTTTTTTTTTTTTAATCAGAAAGACTAATGAGGCAATGCCACAAGGATTTCAAGGGTTCTCACTGGCAAATTTGAGATAATTTGAGCATCAAAAGAACAGAACCATTAAAAAGCATATTGAATTAAAAAGAAAACCTGTAGGACTACAGTTTACAGTGATCTAAAAAAGGGGCAGGAGAAGGGAGAGAAAAGAAAAACAAGAAAAAAAAGAAAAAGCTTTTTTAAAAATATTAATATAAGAATGATAATTATAAAATGTAGAAGAAATAAGACTCCTAATTAAAACCTCATCATTTTTAAGTTTTCAGTGTGATCTTTGATTTAGGCAGGAATCAATAAATACCAAACCCACTCAGTGAAAAGCTGTTGGGAAGCAGTCCATAGTCTCAAAGCATCACTCTATAGATTATTACTAATTACAAAGAGAAAAACAAAACTACATAATGGAAAGATCTGGCAATCATCACTTTAATCAAAGTTATCACAAATAATGAAACAATCTGTATTATATGCCTCCTGATTTGATATAACAGTAAGTATACAACTTTACTTAGGAATTGGTTAATCATATAATTTATCATCTTAATAATTCATTTCTGAGAGTGAAAGGGCATGCTATTAATAACTATACAAAAACAACAAATATTAACTGAAATTGCCATAGACAATTCTGGATTTGCCCTTACCTATTGGCACCTTAACCAAAAATATTTAATTTTTATTTATGTATCTTCACTTTATTTGAAAAACAGACAGAGAAAGAATGAGAGATCTTCTATCTGCTAGTTCCCTCCCTAAAAGTACACAATAGCCAGGCTGGGCCCAAGCTGAAACCAGGAGCCCACAGTTCCATTTGGTCTCCCAAGTGGGTGTCAGGGACTCAAGTATTTCAGCCATTACTGCTGCTTCCCAGGATGTACCTTGTCAGATAGCCAGATGGGAAGTCGAGTGGCTAGAACTCAAATTAGGCACTCTGATATGGGATGTGGGTGTCCCAACTGGTGACTTACCCACTGCATCAAACACCTGTCCCTAGCTAAAAATATTTAAACGGAACCTAATTATGATGAAATATTTAGATTATTGATCTGACCTCTTTAAAAAGGTCTAAGCCATGAAAACCAAGAGATTATTCTAGATTTTTAAAATACCAAAGATACATCATAAAAAAGGTAAATGTGTGGAGGTCAAATGCTGAATCAAGAGAAAAAAATCTACAAGAGATAGTCTTTGATCAGTTAAGGAAATCTGAATGCACACTTATACTGGACAATACTTACAGAACTTTCACTAACTTTTAAGAATGATGTTATTATGTTTATTATGCAGAATATCCTTATTCTTAAAAGATGTATACCTAAGTATTTAAAGGTATAGTGCTACAAAGCCTGCAACTTACTTTCAGATGGTGCAACCAAAATTTTATAAAATATAAATACACACACATATAAAAGAGAAAGCAAATATGGCCAATGTATAGATATTCAATGCAATCCTTTCAATTTACGAGTAAGTTTGAAGTTCTTAAACATAAAACTTGCTAGAAGAGGAATAACCCAAACACATTTTTTTCCTTACCTTGAAGTCGCTCATCAGTCAGTATTTTGTTTGTTTGGTTCCAGGTACTATCTATAAAAATTATTTTTTTCAGTGTCGTGTCTTTGCACTTGCTGTCAATCAAATCACAGTCCTCCAGTTCTTCAGTTTTTTTGCGTTTAACAGATGGCTTGTCAGGGTCATCATTTTTACCTCTAATATTATCTTGAATTCTTTTTTGCAGATGAAAAGAAATATCTTTTATGGAGACTGACTGAGGTCCAGGAAAAACAAGTACAACCTAAAACAAAGAGACTAATGTGAGCGGTGTGCTATTATTATCTTCAAAATGAATTCTGACTGACTTAAAACTTCAAGAAAAATAGGCACTGAATGTCTGGCAGGAAAAAAGCAATGGGTTGCTATTTCTTTAGTATGTATGGTAAAGTTTAGGTTTTACCATTGTATAATCATAAAATACTACCTAAATGCATGATTTATTTCAAAATAAGTCTCTCACTGATTTACAGGGCCATGTTAATTGTACCTTAAATAAATAAAATATATAATATTTAATAAAATATAAGGCAAAGTACATGATACTTTGTAAAAGAACACTACAAGGGCAGGCATTTGGTACAGTGTTTACGATGCCACTTGGGATGCCCACAACACAATTCAACATGCCTAGGTTTCAGCCCTGGCTCCACTCAAATCTAGCTTCCTGCTAATGTGTACCCTCTGAGGCAGGAAGTGCCGGCTCAAGTACATGGGTACCTACCACCCAGCTCCTGACTTTGGCTTGGCTTAGCCTAGGAAATGGTCTCTCTCTCTCTCTCTCTCCTGGTTTTTACTTGGCTCACTCTAGGATATCTCTTACCACCACCTACCTACTTCCCACCCCCCAACCATGGTTCTGCTTAACTCAGCCTAGGAGATCTCTCTCTCTCTTTCTCTGCCTCAAAAATATATTTAAATAAAGTAAAAAAAAAATAGTGCAAAACTTCTCAAGTTTTAAATGCCATTTTCATTTATATGATAAGGATAAAACAAATGATTCAGTGAATACTGGTGAGGAAATGGTGTAATGAGCCTTTACACCATTGGTGATAGGAGAGTGAAACAGCATGACCTTTCATGAAAGCAATATGACAATTTAAATGAAGAGTCTTAAAATGTTCATACCCTTGGCACAGTGATTTCATTATGGGAATCCATCTTAATAAAATAATCCTAAATATATATACACTCACAATAAAGAATATGTTGTATAGAATGTACTTTTATTATGGAATATTAAAATGAAAAATATAGCTTTTAAGGAAAAATTTAAAAAATTATGGTACCTCCTTTCAGCCCCCTTTCTGAGATCTTATACTGTTGGAGCCTTCAATGACTAAACAGTTCCTGACACAATACAGCTACCAAATAAACATTTGTTAAATGTACAAATACTGATAGAATCATGCATATTTTATCCCTCACACTTCTCCCTATTCCCCACATTTTCTTCAATGTGCAGGTACATTTTTAAATTTTTTATTTGAGAGGCAGGGAGACAAAGAGAGAAAGCATGAGAGAAAGAGAGCTCCTATCTGCTAGTCCACTTGCCAAATGCCTGCTAGAGCCCAGGTATAGGCCAAGACTCAAGCCAACATCCAGGAACTCAAGCTAGATCTCCCAGGTAGCTGGCAGGAACCCAACTACTTGAGCTATCACAACCACCTAAAAGGGTTTGCATTAGTAAGAAGCCAGAGATGGGTATCAAACCCTGGCACTCTGATATGAACGTAAGCATCATAACTACTAGGCCAAACACCTACCACATATATACAATTTTGAAAAAGTCAACATTAATAAAAACAAATACATAATAAATAAAATTAAGAAATAATCTTGAATTTTTAAATTTCAAAGTTATAAAACTTCAAATTTTCATAATACATTCCTATACCTACATAGCAAAGTCCAGGGCTTCTTAATTTTCTTGGATTATAATCAAGGTTCCCCTAATAGAACCTATCACTGTATTTATTTAAACAATGTAAACAGCATACAGCTGACCAGAGAAAGAAATGCAAATATAATGACAGATCTAAAACTGAGACTATAAAAAGTCAATATAGATAGAGACAAGAAGAAAGAAAGAAGGAAAGAAAGAGAGAGAGAGTGAGAGAGAGAGAGAGAGAGAGGCAAACCTTACAAAATCTTTCTGGAATAAATGAATGTGTTAAATTTGTTTCCAGACTGACCACACCAATAAATGGTCCCCAAGGGACCTAAATAGATTCAAATGATTGTTTTAGAAGTATCCAAGGTCTAAATTTTTGAAATCTATTGTAAAATCAGTTCTTACCAAAAGACTAGCAATATCTCACCAATATGAAAATTTCAACTCTGTGAAAACCAATTAAGAATCTAACAATTGGCTGGCGCCGCGGCTCAATAGGCTAATCCTCCACCTAGCGGCGCCGGCACACTGGGTTCTAGTCCCAGTCAGGGCGCCGGATTCTGTCCCGGTTGCCCCCTTCCAGGCCAGCTCTCTGCTGTGGCCCGGGAAGGCAGTGGAGGATGGCCCAAGTGCTTGGGCCCTGCACCCCATGGGAGACCAGGAGAAGCACCTGGCTCCTGCCTTCAGATCAGCGCGGTGCACTGGCCGCAGCACGCTGGCCGAGGCGGCCATTGGAAGGTGAACCAACGCAAAAGGAAGACCTTTCTCTCTGTCTCTCTCACTATTCACTCTGCCTGTCGGAGAAATAAAAAAAAGAAGAAAACATAATTATGATTCTAACAATAGGCAAGGAAGACCTCTGAAAGCCAAAGGAAATTTTACAAAGGCTATGTACTAAAGCTCTTTAATTTGGGAGAATTCTTGAAAATTCTTCCAATTCAGTCTTTCTTTCATTCTTTTGGAGAAATTTCAACAATATTTGTAATCTACTTTTCTAGTCTGCATCCATTTAAAGCATGCATATGTAGTACTGGAATGAGAATAAGAAGGAAGAAAGTAAAAGCATGCAAAGTGATATCAGCAGTGTAAAAGAAATAAGGCAGAAAACTAAAATGAACAGAAAGACTCAAAATAGTATAACAATCCAGGATCATCTGACCTTTGAAGCATTAATAAAATAAGCTGTACCATTTAATGCTACATGAGCATAACACTAGGCTTTTAGGAAAAATATTGAATTAAAATAAGCTCATAAAAGCAATGAATTTTAAAATTCATTTTACAGTCAAATGTGAAAATCTATAAAAAATAAGCAGCCTACTTCATGGTCCTTTTCTTCATATTCTGGAATACAAGGATATGTGTAAATGTTTACAAATTCAGGTGCTAAAAGTTTTGCATGTATAGCTGTACTTTTGCCATCTGTTTCATTTGGGTGTTTAATGATGTCGATCTTCAATGGAAGCTAAAGTAAAACAAACAAAAAAGGCAAATGAACAAAAAAATCTAATTTTTATATTAATAAAATGGTCTTTAAAGCTAAATACCAAGCTCACAATGAGTCCTATAGAAATACATATGGTTTGAAAGGCATATTTTTCTAGGCCAGAATTTTAAGAATTATGAATGTCATAAAGCAAACCCAAGTTCTTCTTCAGGATTGTTAATTATGCAAGAAAACAACTATTGTCAACTTTCTTAACATAGAACCCCTTTTAAACAAAGCTCCAATGTCATTTTCATTTAAGTTATATAGTTATTAAGTCCAAATCCTAACATTTCTGTATCTGTACCGATAACAGTTTTTATAATTCTGACCAACTCCAAGTTTGTTTCCTTTATGCTATTTTAAATGGAAAATTAAGTTTTGGGAAAAGCTTCAGATCTAAATTTCAAACTGAAGTTCCATTCTTTGTATGTCCTTTCCAATCACAGGCATTACTCTTTGTTGTGAACATCATGATCTTCACCAGCACATTTTAACAACACCAATCAAATTATTATCAATTGAAAAAAAAAAGTAACAGAGTAAGTCTAAAAGGCATAATCTTCATATCACAAATAACTCTCTGCAAAATCATCTTGTCTTGAACAGTTCCCTTAAAGTTTCAGTACTTGTTATGGATTATGTTCCATCACTGTGAAAAAACTGGATTCCTTGAATTAAGATTCTTCTAGTATCTCACTTTATTTGGTTTAACTTTCTTTATAATGCCTACACAAATCCTGCACTTAGCCATGAATATGAAAATGAATGCTGAGACATATTTTTTCCACTATATATGAAAGAAATTCTCCTGAGATAGGTTCTTCACTGCAGATTTAAATGTCCTTTTATTAGGTACTATCTACCACCTCCAATCCCTATTCCCACACTGAATAGAGAGGATTCTAGGAATTTACCCTGGATCACACAGCTGTTTTGTCCTGCAGTTCAGAACTGTTTTTCTTGAGCTAGACACTGCATATAATTTAACTGTTATGATACAATAAAATGAATCACATATTATACCCTTGAGCCTATCACCACAATGAAGACAATGATCTGCAACTACCAAAGGTCTTCTGTTGTTCCTTACTTCCCTTCTCCCCATCAACCAATGCCTCCAGTCCTCAGGCAGCTATTGGCCTGCTGTGATTACAGATTGACTTTCATTTCTTATGAATGAAATCATATAATATGTACTCTTCATCTGACTTCTTTCATCCGGAATATCACTGTATACATCACTAGGTCTAAAATTACTGTTAAAAGGTATAGTGCTGCATGCTCCTAAATAATGCCAATTTCATGTTTTTTTTCTTTCTGGATAATTATGTGGGTACAGAAAGATCCTAGCTTACAAATAATTACCTCAGTTTTAAATTAGAGTTTAAAATACCATATCTCCTACCCTTTCCCTCTGGCCTAGTGATCATTTATAGGTTAGGGCCAATTATTTCATATCATCACACCAACTTCTAGTTGTAGAAAATTTACTATGTAAGTAGGCAGCTTTCAAGTGATTTTACACCAGTCTACTTCTGTCTGAACTCTACTTTAGACTTCCCTCATGACAATTAGTTTCAGCTGACACTATACTCTCCCTCCCCAGGGTCTCTGAGTGTCAGGTCAGCATTTTCTTAGTCCAGAGAAGGTAGAGAAAAGGAAAGAAGAAAAAGAAAGCAGACCATGACAAGGTATTCTATTACTAAAAAAATTAAATTTCTTATAAGATTGATGATTAGAGCTGAAAATTCTAAAAGCTATCACTAATACTCAAATCAGGTGGCTATCTTGAAGGACAGGACTCAGTGCTATTGTTACCAGATTTTACAAATCATATACACCTATTTTTAAAATTACACAATAAAGAAAGTATTATAAACTAAAATCTAGAAAGTATAAGACAATTACGCAAAATTTGTACCCCTGAAACCCAATCCAGGTATCATCAGTTCTCTGTGTTTAAGCCTGAGGTTTCTGACACTATAAAACCAAAACATGCAAGCAAATCAAATATGAAAATTGTATCTGTGTGTGCTAATTCACACATCATGACAGAGAATGGAGTAACAATGTTTACCAGAGGACAGTTTGAATAGAGATATTCTATTTTCAAACATGTACAGACTATCCATTTGTTCTATTTTCTGGAAGTGAATGACCACAAATCTTTTTGTTTAGGATATCAAAATGCCTTTAGCCAGGAGACCCCAACATTTTCCGAAATAATTATCAACTTTCCCACAAAGAAAAGAAAGCCTTTTTAAACTAGCCTTTTAGATTCTAATAAAACTGGAGGTTTTTTTTTTTTTAACCTCCTGATTTTTTCTCACTTTTCAGAAAATCCCCAAGTACCTTTTACCTTTACCTACGCATTTTACAAGGCTTTTATAAAACTATATTCTGCATTAAAATGTAAGTATTTAGAATTTGTCCCCTAGACTAAAATTTAAACCTAAGAAGGACTTACTCATTATATAGCCATGCTCCCTTCCCAAGTAGGCTACATAAAAGCAAATGCTAAAGGGTTTGTTAAACAAACTTCAAGTAGACATCAGAAAAAAATACTTTGTAGAGTTTTTATTACCATTAATATATATGAAAGATTGAATTTATATATATAACAGATTGAGTTTATATATATATATATATATATAAAATAAACCAATAAAAAAGAAGCACTAGGGGAGGCACTGTGGCATAGGGGGTAAAGTCGCTGCCTGCAGGGCTGGCATCCCATATGGGCACTGGTTCAAGTCCCAGATGTTCCACTTCTGATCCAGCTCTCTGCTATGAGCTGGGAAAACAGTAGAGGATGGCCCAAGTCCTTGGGTCCCTGCACCTGCATGGGAGACCTGGAGGAAGCGCCTGGCTCCTGGCTTTGGATCGGTGTAGCTCCAGCCTTTGTGGCCAATTGAGGAGTGAACCAGAGGATGGAAGACCTCTCTCACTCTCTTTCTGCCTCTCTTTCTCTCTCTGTGTAACTCTGACAAAGAAAGGAAGGAAGGAAGGAAGGGAGGGAGGAGAGAGAGAGAGAGAGAGAAAGAAAGAAAGAAAGACAGACAGACTATAGAAAACCTTGCACAATCCAGACCATTTCGAGTCAAACATTTACATAGGGTTTTGAGTCATTTCTATTAACAGTGGACATTAGTACACTGATTTGAAAAATAACCTACTGTTAACTTATATGAAAATATCAGTTCTGTAAATATAAAGGTATTTCAAAAAGTTCACTAAAAAGAATTCAAAGAAAAATTTTGGCACAGAAAACTTTAGGAACCATGCACAATTTTTTTCATAATATACATTTTCCATGAACTTTTTTGAAGACCTTTAAATTATTGACTTGCATTATTCTTATCTGCAACCCTTTCTGAACAGAACATTTCTTAAGATAAAATTTTAATGGGACACTTCCTTTATGTAACTATGATATGAACCAAGACAGAATAATTCTATGTATACTTCAAAAACTGTACTCTGAAATATAACAGTCCTTTAATCTCAAGGTCTTGGTCCTCCTGAACAAAATGAAAAATGGCTGGGCCATTGCAGCCAGTTGGGGAATGAACAGCAGATGGAAGATCTCTCTCTCTCTCTCTGAAACTCTGCCTTTCAAATAAATCTTAAAAAAGAAATAGTCTTGATAAGCAACAAAAAGTAAAAAGTTAAGCAACTGATTCAAGTCAACTTTTAAATCTGGTTTTAAGTCACTATAATTATAATATAGCCCAATGAATAGGTCTAATCTTTTTTCTAGTTTAGCTTAGTTTTGATGACTGAGATCTAGTACTCCTCCCCATATAGGATTGAGCTAAGTCACAATAGCTTGAAAAAAAAAAGCTCCTTAGGTAAGTCTATAAACTTGTCTATTTAGTATTCACTTTTTAAACCAACGTATCTCAATTCTATTTCTGCGCACTTTTTTTTAGATTTTTTTTTAATTTATTTGAAAGGCAGAGTTAGAGAGGCAGAGACAGAGAGAGAGAATGAGAGAGGTCTTCCATTCACTGGTTCACTCCCCAAATAGCTGCAACAGCTGAAGCTGCGCTGATCGAAAGCCAGGATCTTCTTCCTTCGGGTCTCCCATGAGGGTGCAGGGGCCCAAGAACCTGTGCTATCTTCCACTGCTTTCTCAGGGCCATTAGCAGGGAGCTGGATGGAAAGTGGAGCAGCCAGGACTTGAACTGGTGCCCATATGGGCCATATGGGATGTCAGCACTGTGGTGCCGGCTTTACCAGCTACACAACAGCACCAGCTCTGTAATAGTCATGTTTACAAAACACTTTTTCTATAATGTAAATAAACTATAATCACTATTTCAAAAAGTAATTGATTTCATTAAAAATTAGAAACACCATTCATTTCAGACCCAAGTGTTTTTACAGAGCTAAGGAAAACAAATAGGTTTAGTAAAATATAGGATAACAATTTCACTAACAATTTGTTTTCATACTATTGTTTCTCAAGCTTATCAATCATATCACAGCACAAGTATATGAAATATAGTTGTTGCATCTATTTCCCTACTATCAAACAAGTAAATTTCTTACTAACCTTCACAAGTGGAATCTGTTCAACAGGTACATTTTCAACTGGGACATAGCACGTATAGCAGTAAAACATTCTGGATCCACCGCATTTGCGACACTTTGACCTCCCACTTTGCTGAGCTTTTTGAAGAACATCTTGAGATGCTAAACATAAGTTTTGAAGGGGATCTTCTGAAGCTACAGAAGTAGTTTGTGACTGTTTTGTCTCCACAAATTCTGAGTTATTTTCTTCAAATTTAAGTGAATTGAGAGACATTCTTCATTTAAACTAAATGTAAATATTTATTGTTAAAAACATTTATTACAGGTACACTGTAAAAAAAAGAAAAAGTAGGAGATAAAAACAAAAGACATTTTAGTCATTGTCTCTATAAATAAAACCACACAATTCACACTGTGAATTTAATATTTAACAATATTAAGAAGTTTCAGAAAACCACTAAATTGCATGCTTTTAAATATAAAAGTCAGTAGTCAAAACAACAAATAACAGTTCTCCTTTTGGGCCTTTCTGTACATAAATTGGAAATGGCACTATCTTAGAAAAGTTATTTCAAATACAAAGTTTGGGTACTGACAATCTACTTTTTAAAAATTCTTTTTGTTCCAGAGATGGCAATTTTATTTCATAAGTACTAAAAATTCAATGATTTCATGTTAGTATTAGCCAGGAATATATTTAAGCTGTTAGGCTCTGATTCTGAATTGACTTTACATAACATCAAATTTCATGCTTAACTCTAATGAAAAAAAGCTTCCAGAGAAATCAGTAAAATTTAGCGGGAAGTGTTCCAAAAGATATATTCCACTTTAACTTAAAATGTGTGTGTATACTAAAAAATAAGAGGCATCTACTACCACTTACAATTTGTAAAACATCCCATAATTGAAATGCCTGATCTTAAAAATTATAAAGCGTTATAGAATGACATTAATGTCCATTCATTCTAAGGTTTTAAACTACCCAGGTCAGCGTTGTGGCACAGTGAGTAAAGCCACTGCCTGCAGTGCCAGCATCCAATATGGATGCTGAATTGAGTCCCAGCTGCTCCGTTTCCAATCCAGCTCTCTGCTATGGCCTAGGAAAGCAGAAGATGGCCAATGTCCTTGGGTGCCCGCACCCGTGTGGGAGACCCGGAAGAAGCTCCAGACTCCTGGCTTCGGGTTGGCACAGCCCCGGCTGTTGCAGCCATTTGAGTGACCAGGGGATGAAATTCCTCTCTCTCTATCTCTATCTCTGTGTTTCTGTAGCTCTGTAGCCTCTGTGTCTCTGTAGCCTTTCAAATAAATAAATAAATCTTAAAAAAAAAAAACAGAATTTATAATGCCTTTTAAAAATACACACCATTCAGATTCTGCAGTACACGAGATAAAGTAGTAAAATCACTTTCCCACTTAATATTTTCTTAAGGGTGAGAGCTGCAAAATTTTTTATTTGAATTCCCTTGAAACATGATATCTTTCAAGGGAGAAAAAAGACTGGGCCTGTTGATTTGATATGCATTCCACAGCTATAAAACAATTTTTCTGTTACAAAGCCTTATGGCACTGTGATGTTTAACTATGATGCTCCAGGCACTTTACAAGAAGATTTCTTTGGTCTTCCAAATGAAAGTGAACAGAAAGTCCAGAGAGACAAAGAATCCAACACAACTTGCTAATAAGAAGTTAGAGATACTAAGACTGTAAATCCAAGAGAGCTTGAGACTCAAAGAAAAGATGCCATCATTGAAGCGAAAAATGCACTTGCCAAATTTACCCCGGGAGAAAACCGAAATACGTATACTATATTTTTTGCTGTTTACTAATTAGGTGGAGATTTACATTTTGGGTTGCTCAGAAAAATGGATATGTGAAAACACTAGTCCAATCCCTTCTTTAAGCCTCACAAATGGAAAATAAATTCTACTTCTGACCACAATTCTAAATCACCAAACTAAAAATGGCTTCTATCTCTGTGGACATGTCTTCAATGCTTACAGATTAGGAAGCTGTTGCCTTTCCTTGAGTCTCAGATCCTTTTAGGAATCATAAAAACATTAGTCCTTATTCCGCAAAAATACATATCCAAACTCAATTATTTTTTACACAATTTCAAGTGTTTTTCACAGGTCTCCTAGAATCCACCTACGGATACAGGCAGAGAAATCTTGAGTAAGAAAATTCATTTTCAGTACAGAAGTAACCCTACAAGTTTGGGGAAAGATCCTATTAATCTCCAGAAACCAGAGCTATCCTCTGTTGGCCAACAAAGTGCTAACTGTCTCAAGCCAATAGAAGTCTTATAGCTGCACTTCGTGCGCTAATTAAATTTCACCTATAAAAACCTTGTTTTGGGTCTGTTCTGTTGTTGCCTGAAGTTTTTACATAAAAACGCTTTACAGCTTTAATAGTCTTAAATTATTCAGATCACAGGACTCATCCTAAGAATGAAATTGGACAGGTCTAATTCAATGTGACTTGATTCCCCAGGCTATTCCCGTTAGCAATTTAGAGGGTTTGCCTGTATCACCAAAGAGCCCACACATACTGGGGCTTAACAACGCAGTTCCTGTGGATGTCATGGAAATCAACGTGGTGGTCTGACATTTAACAGAAAACTACTGGTTTCTACAGTTTTCTAAAGCCCTCAAAATACATTCTTCCTAAGATGCCTCAGAAATATCACCCTGCACTTCACTGGCCTTATGTTCTTATGTTCAGATAACTAAATGGATATTTGTTAAGGCTTATATAAATTAATATCCTCTACAAAATCAAAATAACACAAATACCTGTGAGGCAGTGAAATTCAGGGAAATGTTTTTGCCTCCTCTCCCTGCCTCACCTACACACTCTCACCTATGGCTGAGGTGGCCACATAGAAGAGGCCAGCAGTTATAATACTGCAGCTCCCTTCAAGAGTCTCTGACACCATATGATCACAGCTTCTGTCCTGACCTACCCAACAGCCTGTCTTCAATGTGTACCAATCATTTGTTGCAGTTTTGTTATTCAAAACCTTCAAGGCTTACTTATTAACATCAAATATGTGTGGGGAAATACAACTGAAGTCCTGGGAGTTAAAAAGACAGAAAACATAAAAAGACTATTCTTAGGGAACTATCAAATAGTTTTAGAACCTTGATGTTACATCCATCATTCTGCAACTTAGGCTAAAAACAAATTTTTATTCCTCTTTCTACCCAATTTCCCCCAAAAACTAATTAAAGACACCAAGCTGCATCAATTTTATCCTGCATAGAACCTTGTATTTTCAGTCTCAAAGTCAGGACAGTGATTCAGTTCCTAATAACTCATGGATGGGTCAGGACACTCTCTTACACCTCCTTACCTTTGAGCACTTATTATTGGTTCCACATATTTGACATGGAAAAATACACTTAATTTGGAGGTACCTTTGAGTGAGGCTGTCCCTCCCAGGAGATTCAACTGTGTAAAAGCAGAATTCTTTCTTGATCTCACCTATCCCTTAATCTAATGCACTTAGAATTCAACAAATACTAATGAAATCAAAGCCATTTTGAGAAATGACTCTGGTACACACCTTGCTGCTTAAGTACCTGAAAAACTACCTTCATGGGCTATCTGGAGCCTGGCACAAGTGGCAGCCTGGCAAAACATTTTTTGTTTTGTTTTGTTTTGCTTTACAAAACAGCAGAAACCGTTCTTTGCTTTTTAATTCGGTACTAGATAAAATCCACTTCAAATTTTCTTTCTGGAGTATTTTTAAGAACCTAGTGCCATAATATAATCACATCCAACATCCATTGTCCGAAATCTAAGGTATCAGCTACATATATAAATATATATGACATATAGGACCATATATGACATATATATGACAAATAGGCCCTCCCACAGCACCCACTGATAGGCTTATAGACGACTTGCTTTATTTTTTTCCTCGTACACTGGACTTCAGTCCTTACATATTGTGATCTTAAACCAGTTCCCAAATTTATTACACTAACTCTGTAGAACTGGCGCCCGAAAAAATGTTAATGTACTTCCTTCCTTATCTACATTCACAAGAAATAATTCAGACACAACAAACAGACTCCGTTGCTTATTATGTAGCCACAATATTAATATTTTAAATACATCGCGTGGCATGCCTATTCCCACAACTGTACTGGACTTCCGAGATGACTGACCCTTCACAAACCACTCCAAAGACAAAAAAAAAAAAAAAAAAAAATGGAGTTTCTAGGAGTCTGAAGGAACACTTTCCTTAGGACAGAAAAATCCGAAAATCACTGTTTAATTTTTTTTTTGAGGAAAAATCTGTAAGCTTTTTTTCCGAAAGGGCCCGCTAGATCTTACAAACCCAAGAGGCAGGGACCAGGGCTGCCCTCACAGGCGACAACCAGCGCGTCCTCCGCTGGCGCCCTGTTCAGGAGCGTCCACTTCCCGCGGCCGCGCGGCTCGGGCCAGACCGCTGAAGCGGCGCGCAGACCCGCACGGGGGATGGGAGTGGGATTAATCACACCTGCACAGCTCGCGGGTTCTCGCGCAGCTCCACGAGTCTTCCGCCTCCCGAGCCCGAGGCGCGCGCCGGGCCGTGACCGCGCACGGACCGAGCGGAGCGCTTTCCGGGAGACACCCGAGGGAGGAGCTAGGCGGTTGCCGCGGCGAAGGTAACTGACGGGCGGCGGGGCGGGGTTAGACGGGAAGTCCCGCCTCCGCCTCTCTCTCCTCGGGCCCTGTAGCCCTTCTGAGAGACTCTGTGGGAGCCGGGCTTGGGCCGCTGGGGCGAGGCCCTCACCCCGGCCGTCCTGGCGCAGAGCTCGCTCGAGGCTGACTGGGACATCAAAACGGGAACGCGGTGCTGGGAATGCATTCTCAAGGCTTAGTTGCAGTGAGCTGTGAACCAGTGCTGACCCCACTGAACACTGACCATTTTACCAATCCTCGGTGTATTTAAATTGTGAGAACTTGGGTCTGTTACTTTTCTGTATCAAGTGTTTCATGTGCTACGCAGTGCTGAAAGCTACTAGAAAAATCGAAAGATTATACTATGGAGTTTGCCCTTCTGGATATAAAAAGCAGCAAAAGCGAAGTCTTTAACCAGGAATAGTTCACAGCCATTTTCTCTCTTTTTTTTTTAAACTTAAATCTTAAGTTTTATCAAACTAGTTTGCACAGACTAAAAAGTAAATTATATATTTAATTATTAGCGTGTGGGGTTGTTATTTGTAAGGAACCAGTTACTCCAAAATATGTCAGCTTGAAATGACCATTTTATTATATTCGTGAGCTGTATGGTCAGTGGGGCACAATATGTTGGCCTTTTTTATGGTAACAACTGGTGAGCCTAGGCATGCTACCAGAATTCCTGTTTACAACTCCTCCATGTGGCCTGGGCTTCCTCCCAGAATGGCAGTAGCACTGTCAGACTTCAGTTTAGACCCTTGTCTTCAAAAGGAGTATTTAAATAAACAGGGCAGAAACTGCATGTGCTTTTCTGACCTAACCTCAAAAACTAACAGTTTGCTTTAGTCCATTTTTTATTGTCACAGTTTTGAAGGGCCAGGAGCACGCACTGGCTTATTCTTGGCTTTCTTGAGGGTCTCGTGGCAGATGGCATCAGGATATCAGGAGTTCCTACAGCAGAGATAAAGAGACAGGAAGTCATATTTAGCTATTATAACCCACACTTAAAGGAACCAACTAACTTTCTAAGACCAGCATTACCCAGGGCAATGACCAGAATGAACTAATCACTTTCCAGGAGCCCCCACCTCACCCACCACCACCACCACCTCCACCATCCCTTAAAAGTTCCATGGCATCCCAAAATCCACACACTGATGACCAGATGTCCAACATATGACCCCTTGGAGGACACGCTAAGCTACATCCAGACCATAACATGGTGTCAGTTTCTTTAGCTTCTTTCCCTCACAAGTCCTGTCCAGATTTTGGAGAAAGACAAAAGTCCTACTTCTCAAAAGATTAGCAAAGACTTTGTAGCCATTTAGGAAAAAGAAAAAAACTGACAGTGAATTTACTGCTTTAACTGAATTCTCGCAAAAGATCCATTGTGATTGTTGCTAGTCAGATGAAAAAGGTTGACTCATTAAGACTCATGGATTCAGGTTTATTTTTCACTGGTTCTGTAGCCTTCTAGAACTTAGGGTCTGTAACTTCTCTGACAAGATAGAAAGTGTGGTAAATTATACAAGAACCTGTGGAGGTCAGCTCTAAAAATAGTACATAAATTGTGCCACATTCCAGTTCAGAATGTAGTCCCAATACCTCTCACTGTAACTGTAAGGTAGCCTGGAAAATGTAGAGGAATATATATATATATATATATATATATATATATAGGTGAGTACTATCAATTTGTCACATTCTAGGTTTTAAATTAAACCCCATAGTATTCAAGCCCTTCACTTGGTTCTTCTCACCAAAGGAAAATCCCTTAACAGCTTTTAATATGTCTTCTGTTATTTACTGTTTCTAAATATATTATAATTTCTTGAGTTTTTAAATGTCAGACATTATCCATTGGTTTTCTCTTGTGGAAGGCAATGGTGTTGTTCTTTTATAATACTACCCCAAGCATGTGAACATTTCCTCTCTTCCAGTTCTACACTCTTCTTGTCTCTCCGTCTCTCAATATAGTGATATCATAGTTTGGGTCAAATCAATTTTTAATATTATCACTAGTAAGTCTAGGTCAATAACATTCAACCCCGAACCACATAGTATACCACAATTATATTAATAAAACTTTTCCTTTCTCTTAATAACTACTGTATTTTGTGTATTCATTAGTAATCTGTTCTTCAGAGATTCTGAAGTGATAAAGCATAAAAATCAAATACATCAATCAATAAAGCAGTTTTTTTGTCCTTATAGATATTCCTGAGAGCATTATAACATTTAGTCAATTTAGGATGATTGATTTCACAGATCCAACATTGTTATACTGTGTTTAGATTCCTTTTTCTTTGTTTAATTCTGTGTGTTATGAAATATGCCCTCTAGTATCTTCCTGAGAAACATAAATGGAAGCATGGGAGAAAATTAATAACCTCCCCTTACAAGATGTCCACATTCTAGTTTCCAGAACAAATGAAAATTTTATATGGCAGAAAAAATCACCTATGCACCTCAATGTCTTGAGGTGGAAAAATTACTCTATTATCTGGGTGAGGTCTCCTAATAAGAGAGAGACAAGAGGTCAAAGAGGGGAGAATGCTCCAGACTTTGAAGTTACAGGAAGGAGCTATGAGGAAAGGAATGTGGGAAATTGCTAGAAGCTGGAGAAGGGAAGGAAGTTGACTCTGCTAGAGTATCAGGAAGGAGCATAGCCCCACAGACCCACTTTAGACTTCTGACCTCCAGAACTATGAGATAACGATCTTGTGTTGTCTTAAGCCACTGTGTGTAATAATTGGTTACAGCAGTAATATGAAAATAACACAGAAATAAATGGGGATTTTTAAACTACCTTGCAAGAAAGATGCAACAGATTTAATTAATGATTAGCTTAAATTTGAATTTATAGATTGAAAGTCATTTTCCTGCAGAATCTCCTAAATTCTTATATTTTTCCTCTGATTCTTGTTTTTCTTAAACATTTTTCTTCTAAAATTTCTTCAGTTTTTGTTCCATAACCTTTTTTTGGAGTATTTAATTTATATCCATTATGTGTACTTTACATTTTGTATTCTCTATTTCTTTATATCATGCTGCTTTTGTTTCAAGAATGCCTTATCTTATAGCACTTTAAGTATCTTAAAGACTGTTTTGAAGTTTCTTTTTGTTCCCCACATTGTCTGTATACAGCTGGATTTTATTCTTAGCTATTTATTTGGGTTTCTATTTTATATTTTTTATCGTAAATACTTGGTAGTCCTTGCTTCAATTTATATTGACGAATAAGAATTAAAGTAAAGACAGAATCTTCATTGTGTCTGAACAGGAATTGTCAAGCATTCACTTTCTTAGTTTATCACTGGGAGTTTCTCAAACATCTATAAGAGAAACAAGACTAATAAAGATAAAGGGAAAAATCAATGAAATTGATGTTATATGTGCACTATCGAGAAATCTAAGAAGGCCAAACTTGGTTCTTTGGAAAGACTAATAAAATTGGTGGAACTTGAGATTGATCAAGACATAAGTACAAATATCAAAAGTTTAAAAACATCATCACTGACCCTACAGATAGCAGATAAGAGAATATTAAGTGTAAAATACTTATGTCAAATACTTGATAATTTTTATTTCCTTGAAAAATAATTTACCAAAATGAATATAAGTATTAATAGAATATCTGCATGACATTATATTAATTTTGATAAACTGTATCTGTATTAGTCTGCTCAGACTGTCAAAATATAATAGTAGACTGGATGACTTAAACAACAGAAATTTTTTTTCTCATAGATAAAGAGACCAAGGCTCCATCAGGGTTGGTTTATGATAAGACGTTTCTTCTTATATTGTAGGCCACTAACCTTGCACCAGGGCAACATAGTGAACATAATGAATTAAATAATAGTTGAAAACTTCCCAAGCCTTGAAGAGATATAGACATGAAGATATAGGAAGCTCAGAGGAGCTCAACCAAGACTCAACCAAAAAAGACACTTTCCAAGGCATTTTATATCCAAAGTGCTAAAATTTTAGGACACAGAGAGAATCTTAAAGACAGAGACAAAACATTAAGTCACATATAAAGGAAAACCTATTAGACTAATAACAGACTTCTCAACAGAAACCCTACAGGCCAGAAAAGAGTAGGATGATACAGTCAAGGTCTTGAAAGAAAAAAACCTCCAGCCAAGAATATTATATCCAGTGAAGCAATCCTTCATGAATGAGATAGAAGTAAATTATTTCCCAGACAAGAAAAAGCTGAGAGAATTCATCTCACCATGCGAGCCTCACAAGAAAGCCTGAAATGAGACCTACGTTAGATATAACCTTCATGAAAACAAAACAGTACAAAATTCAATGAAAGAGCAAATGCACAAAAGGGAAACAGAAGGGTATCCAACCTTATGGCAGAAGGCTACCAAAACACAAAAATGATAAGAAAGCAGAAAGAAGTGGAGAATATGTAAAATGATAAGCAACAAACAAAGGGATGTGGGGATAGTGCTTACCTATCAGAATTAGCATTGAATGTGAATAGATTAAATTACCCAAAAGATTTAGTAGATTAAAAAAAAAAAGACCCAGGTATATACTGTCTACAGATAACTCACTTCACAGGTTAAGATACACATAGAATGAAAGTGAAGGGTTGGAAAAAGATATACCATGCAAATAGAAACCAAAAACAAGTTAGAGTAGCTATATAGTCACATAAAACATACATTTCACATTTTTTAAAATGTGAAAAGAGAGAAGAACATTATATATTGATGAGGATCAACTCAGGAAGATGTAATCATTATAACTGTATATGCATTCAACACAAGACCACTCAGATGTGTAAAACAAATATTATTAGACCTAAAGGGAGAGACACAATCCAATATCATTGTAGTAGGGAACTTTAACACCACAATGTTATAGACATATAATCTAGACAGAAAACTAACAAAGATACGTCAGATTTGAAATATACTATACAGCAAATGGGCTTAATATTTCACCCAACAGCTAGGCTAGACCATATATTAGGTCACAAATCAAGTCTCAGCAGGTTTTTTTTAGGGGATGAAATCCTGGTTTTATTTATTTGAAAGGCAAAGTTACAGAAAGAGCTCTTTCATCTGCTGTTAACTCCGCAGTGGGGAACTATTTATTACCCTCAATAGTTTACTATCTAGTTAAAGCTTAACAAGCAATTTGAATTGTCACATAGCAACAACTTATAGAAACATTTACCAAAAGGCCTGATGTCTTCTATAGATTTTAAGAATACAAGAGTACATATATTTGGAAACATTTATCTTTCACACTTACAAACTTATTTTTTAACAATTATAGTTAAATTACCTAAGAAACTAAAATATTAGATATGCATGGTTACTATCTTAAGTCATGATCTTCCCAGAGAACAACTCTAGAAGCTAAATTTGACTTTATAGGAGTCAATGAACATTGTATCATACCTTTACCTATGTTATTTGTTTTTAGGTTGATATAATAACTTTATAATTCCAAATATCTAACACAAATAGATATAACTTTTGCTTAATCAGCAAACCGAAACACAAACATGTGAAGCACTCTGAAAACATCTTTAGTTTCTTTTTACCAACGAATTTAAAACAACCTCTGAAAACATCTTTAGTTTCTTTTTACCAACGAATTTAAAACAACCTATCTATCAGAGATTTATCCAAGTATTTATGTAACACAAACCAAAAAAACTATTTTGGGTTAATTTAATAGTTTTAATTTATATGAGTGCCCTTTTATCTATAAGTCATTTAGAACAGACCTCTTAACAAAATTTTGCATGTAGATACAACATACAGCATGTACACAGTTATAATGCATTCATAACATACATCACAGGACAGAACAGTAAAGCAGATTCTGTTAACAGCTTTTGAAAATCTTTGACTTCTTTTAAAAAACAACTATCAATCAATTAGAATCACTTCTTGCTCTTAGTTACCTGAATTAACCATACTTTTTTTCAGTTGGAACCTGAAGGAAAAAAAAAAAAAACTTTACTTGAGCATATAGTTTGTAAAATAACTGTAGTCCCAGTAATTGAATTAGACATTTTCACATGTAAAGAAAATAATATCTTTATTTCAGATTCTGTTAGCACTCTAACAGAGAAATGTTTTTGTTTATTATGTTTATAGTTTCTTGCTCCCCACTGTCAATTGTATCAGGGGCATCTGTAGGAATTTATACAGGTTTTAAGGGATCAGAGTCATCCCTGAGCCTGTGCTCTACCATTGTGGTGAGGGGGAGTCAAAGCTCTGCAGAATTTTTTAAACTAGGAGGGCCTCCTACCATATCTCCTTGGGCATCAATTACTGTAGACACAGCAATTGCAAGGTTTAAGGTATTTACCAAATTTCTAATAAAACCTCTCTAACTGCAGAATAGCATAACAGGTAGGGATCCATTTAACAGCCACCTTTCTTTAAAATCCAACATATATGTAGACCACACAGTATTTCCATAGGACATCATTTCCTTCTTAGTCATAGGCTATCACCTGTAAGCTGCCCAATCAGCCAAGATGCAACCTAGGAGGTTTTTGGATAGAACAGAAATTGAACTGCTCTTGTTTAACCAAAGAGAAAGAAATTCTCACATAACCAACCAACCAAAAGGGTACTATACCAAACCAAATCAAAATCCTCCTTGTAGAGGAACTGAGGTAAAAGTCTTAGAATCTTACCTCCTGCCAACTCAAAAAACTAATGTCATGAAGCCCAAACAGCAGATAGAGAGGATTCCCAGTGTGCACTTACCCAATGCGACTTACTCAGACTTAGAGTCCATCGGCTCCTTACCCATTTCCTCATACCAACAATGCTTTTATAGATAGCTAATGCCTCAGTAGGGAGAGAAGACAATTCCCCCACAGAAAGTGCTCTCAGCAGCTGCTTAAAGTGTCCCTGGAGTCCCATTCACAGGGTCAGCTCACCATAGCAACTCTGGAGTGGGGTACAAGTGGCCATTGCCCTTCCTTGCTGGTATGCGAGTGTTAGGCTACTTGAAGAATACACCCCAACGATTATTTGTTACCAAATAATCGGGCCCTTGCTGTTCTCCACTTGCATAGCCAACTCATCAGAGATAAGCATTGGTAAAAGGAAAGGATTCATTTCAAGAAGCCGACATCATGGGGAAAGAGATATCTCTTGATTCAAAATGTGCTCTTAACCCAAGTCTCAGCAATTTTTTTAAAAACGAAAACATGTGTTTTTTCAGACCACCATGGAATAAACTAGAAAGCAATAAGTACAATAGATGTTTTCAAACCAATGGAAATTGACCAAATGCCCCTGAATCACCAATGGATCATTGGAGAAATTCAACAGAAAATCAAAACTTTTCTTGATTCAAATGAAAATGAAAATTAAACATATCAAAAGCTGTCAGATACAACAAAAAAAAATTGAGAAAGTAAATTTATGCTAATAAGTGCATATTTAAGAATATACAAAGATTTCAAATAATCTAATGATGCATCTTAAGGACTTAGAAAAGAAAGAACAAACCAAGCCCCAAATTAGCAAGAGGCAAGAAGCAATAAATATCAGAGCAGAAATAAAACCCAAAAGTTAAACAGAATGAAAAGCTATTTTTTGAAATGACAGACAAAACTTTAGCTATATTAACAAAAAAGAGAAAAATTTGGGATGATAAAGGAGACATTGCAATTGATTACCACAGAAATAGAATCATAAGAAACTACTTTGATTAACTATGTGCTGGCAAATTTAAAACCTCAAGAAATGAATAAATTCCTGGATATGCACAACTTTCCAAAATTAAATCAAGAATGTATAGAAAATCTAAACAGAACTATAGCAAGTAATAAAATTTAAAAAGTAATTAAAAATATCCCATCAAAGAAAAATATAGGGTCCAGCATTATACCACTCTTTGTGGTGCCAGCTATCCCCTATCAACATCCCTTAACCTAGGTGAATCCGTTGTCTGCTTCCAACCCAGCCTTCTTACTATGTTATTGGAAATGCAGCAGGTGATGATCCAAGTGCTTGAGCTCCTGCTGGTCTATGGAAGGAGGAGGAGGATGGAGTTTCTGACTCCTGGCTTCAACCTGGCTTAGTCCTGGCTGTTGCAGCCTTTTGGGGAGTGAAATAGTGGTTGTAAAATCTCTATATCTCTCTATCTTTCCAATAGCCAAGCCAAAAAATAAAAATAAAAAAAAAATCAAGGAGGAGCCATCACAATACCTGATTTCAAAGTATGTAACAAAGCTATGGTAATTAAAAAAGCAGTGTGGTACTTGAATAAAAATCCACACATAAATCAATGGAACAGAATAGAAAACCAATAAATTAATTCACATACATAAAACCAACTGAGTTTTTCACAATGGTGCCAAGAAATTTATTATACAAGGGATCTTTTCTTTAGATTTATTTTATTTATTTGAAAGGCAGAGTTACAGAGAGACAGAGAGAGATCTTCTATCCGCTGGTTCCTTCCCCAAATGGCCACAATGGCAAGGGCTGGGCCAGGTCATAGCCAGGAGCCAGGAGCTCCATCTAATTTCCCATATAGGTGGCAGGGTCCTAACTACTCGAGCCATCATCTGTTGCTTTTCCAGGCATGTTATCAGGGAGCTGGATTAGAAGCAGGGTAACCGGGACTCAAACAGGTACTCAGATATGAAATGCTGGTATCCCAGTGGGAGCTTAACCCACTACACCACAATGCTGGCTCTTCTATTTTTATTTTAGTCAGAATACATACTGTTAAATTTAAATTATTTTGACATTTTTAGGTTAAGTTGTTTGATAATGTTCAAATGTTTTTCATCCTTTCTGATTTGTGTCTACGTATGTACCTGATTCACCAATTATTCAGAGAGGTTTGTTAGATCTCCAACTGTAATTGTGGTTTTGTCTATATTTCCCTTTATTTTTTCAATGTCTACTACATTTATTCTAAATTATGCAAACACTTTCAGCACTGGTGTGTCTTCTTAATGAACTGACATTTTTTTCACTATAAAACATGTTTATCAACGTCTGGTAATACTCCTTGTCTTGAGGTCTACTTAGTACTTAGTATGATGATAATATAGCCATGCCAAATTTCTTATGATTAGTATACTCATAGACCTATAATATCCACTTGTTTCTTTTTTAGAATTTCTAATCATCTTGAAATATATAATAACTTTATGCACGATTATCCAACCTATGTTGTAAAAATCTTTAATATATTTATGGTAGCTATTTCAAAGTCCTTGGCTGCTAATTGTAACTGGTTTCTGAGTTAATTGGGTTATGTTCACAGTGTTTTCCATGACTTAGGGTCCTGTTTTCCTCTTTCTTTGTATGTCTTATTTATTGTGTGTTTACACATTATGTAGAGAAGCTTATAGAAGCTGAAACTTATTTTTGCTTGTTTTCAGAGAAGACAAGACCTTTCCTTTCTTTGGTATTTAGAGTTAGAGTCTGACCTTTTAGAATCCTCTGGGAGTTGAGCTGAGTTTAAGAATTTACAATAGCTTTAATTAGATTAACTTCACATGTGATTAGCTCAACCTCCAACCTCTTTCCCTCAAGGTCACCTCTTATATCTTTTGAATATTTGAGCTTGATGTAGGTTGGACTGAAGTTTTAGATAATGTTGGTTCAACGTTGGGGTCAACTCTGTTAAAGTTGTAGAATCTAATAACTGGAAAAGTATGGTCCTGTACAGTTTCTCTCTTTTCATATTGTCCTCCACTGCCACTATCATAAAAAAAAAAAAAAGTGGGGTTTGGAGGAAGGGAAGAAGGAATTGGCTAAGTCATTTGTGTTTACATTTGTATATCTTTCAGATTCCAGTTTGTTCCCCCAAATCACTTATGTCTAAGGCCTTGCTGATTTCTCTTCATCTCTGCAAAATTGCTGCACCATGGCAGGCCAGCAGAAACATCAATGGATGGCCACAGGTGGCTCACAGGTAAGGAAACTGCCACAGCATTATGGTTGCTTATAAAGAGCTTGCTTGTTTCTGATTTCAAGTCATCAAGGCTTCCAAGGAAGGGTCAGGTTATGGGCTTGTGACTTCTACATTTAGGATAGAATCTCATGCTGAAAATGACCCCTTGCCCCTGATTTAATGCTCTTGTATTACCATCTTTAAATTCTTAATGATTTTTGAACAAAGGACTCTGAATTTCCACAAATAATGTAATTAAGCCTGCTTAGTAACATCCACTATTTTTCACTAACCTCACAGAGAAGTATGCTTTTTATTTTGTCTATGTTTCTCTTGCATTCTTCTATACCCTACCAAAAGTAGAAGTCTGTTTAAGTTATGCCTAGCCTCCTTTTAGCTTTATCCTGAAAGATAAAGAATTTTACATTGAAATTAGCTGGAATTTTTTTATACAAATTTCAATTCCTTAATTCAATTTTTCTAATTCCCATTAATTGAAATTTGTCTATTTTTCAATTCTTTGTACTAGAAGTAGTTTGACAGCCATTATAAGAAAAAAAAAGTCAACATCTAAATTGTTTTAATTAGGGTTTTTTTATATTCTGGGCATCTAAAACTATACTGCTAGGGCTTCTGCCCCTCATGTGGACAGTGACTGAGGAGCCATGTGCGAGAGAACCAAGGAACCTCATTGAACCCTAGGAATGCCCTTGATGCATGACACTGATAACATCCACTGCAGTGAAAGGACCACAATGTGACATCCAACTGAAATTAATGCTGAAATAATCCACCAAACTGATAACTAAAGAAACATCCTCAGCAAAAGCCATCAGTCCATGAAAGCCACCCTTTAAAGTCATCCACTATGCTGATGTTCAAGTAGTAGTCCAGGGACATAAGAAGTATGAACAAATAAGATAATATAAGACACCAAAAGGAACAGAGTAATAATTTAGTATAAAAATATAAACAAAGGGAGATTGATAAAATGCCTGATAATGAATTTAAAAGAAGTATTGTAAGTCTAAACAAAGAGATACAAGAGAATATAGATAGTTAAATGAAATTGACAAATTCAAAAAAATGAGATCTTTTTCAAAAAATATTTATTTATTTGAAATTCAGAATTAGAGAGAGAGAGAAAGACAGAGAGAAATCTTCCATCTGCTGATTCACTTCCCAAATGGCCACAATGGCCAGAGCTGGGCCAATCCAAAACCAGGAGCAAGGAGCTTCTTCTGGGTCTCCTTCATGGTTCCAGGATTCCCAAGGACTTGGACCATCTTCTTTCACTTTCCCAGGTGCGTTAGCAGGGAGCTATACCAGAAGTGGAGTAGCCACGACTCTAACTGACACCGACATGGGCTGCTGGCACCGGAGTCAGTAGCTTTACCCATCATGCTAGAGCACCAGCCCTCAAAGTGTTAAAAAAAAGAATGAAATATAAATCTTTAAGAACTTAGTAAGTCAAATAAAAAACACAATTAAAACCTGTCAACAATAAATCAGATCAGTTAGATGAAGCAGTATCTTAACATGAAGTCAAATTTTTTGAAATATCTCAGACAAAAAGCAGAATGGAGACAACCTCAAAGATTGTTGAGATACAATTAAACAAAACAATATTTGCATGCTTGGGACCCCTGTGGGAAAAGGGAAAGGCACAGAATAATCTATTGAATAAAATAGTAACTGAAAACTTTCACAAACTGGAGGAAGATGAGGACATCCAAGTACAGAAGGTTCATAGGATTCCAAAAAGACATGGTCAGAAAGTACCAATACTATGACACATTACAGTCATATTCACAAATTTACACCAAAAACAATTCTAAAATTTATAAGAAAAAAGCACCAGGTCACTCTTAAGAAATTCTCCATTGGATTAACAGCAGATTTTTCAACAGAAACCTTATCTGCCAAGACAAAATGGAATGGTATATCCAAGTTCTGAATGCAAATAGCTGTCAACCAAAATTACTTTACCAGTGAAGTTATCTTTCATAAATGAAGGTGAAATGAAGACTTCCCATTACCAGCATACCAGACTTAGGATACTTCAGCATGTCCTATATATAGAAGCAAACACAGCGAACATCATGAAAATAGGTGAAAGCATAAAATCATCTAGAAAAAGAACAATGGACATTCAAAAAAAAACCAAAGAAATATTTAAAAACAAGACTAAACTATTACTTATCAATAATAACTTTGAATGAAAATGGATTAAATTCCCCAATTAAAAGGTACAGACTGGCTGAATGGTTTTAAGAAACAATGTACTCTGGGGCCTGCACTGTGGCACAGTGGGTTAAAGCCCTGGCCTGCAGCACTGGCATCCCATATGGGTGCTGGTTCGAATCCCAGCTTCTCTATTTCTGATCCAGCTCTCTGCTATGGCTTGGGAAATCAGTAGAAGATAGCCCAAATCCTTGGGTCCGTGCAACCATATGGGAGATCCAGTGGAAGCTCCTGGCTCCTGGCTTCAGATCGGTGCAGCCCCGGCTATTGCAGCCGATTGAGGAGTGGGCCAGCAATTGGAAGACCTCTCTCTCACTGCCTTTCCTTTTCTCTCTGTAATGCTGACTTTCAAATAAATAAATAAATCTTTAAAAATTTAAGAGAGACATGTGAATATTACTAGTCATCAAGGAAATGCAATTCAAAACCACAGTGATGTACCATCTTATTCCAGTTAGAATGGCTTATAAACAAGAAGAAAAAAGAGGCCGACTCCATGTTTGCAGAAGGGTAATATTCTCCCTGTGGCACTGGCATCCCATAAGGGCACTGGTTCTAGTCCCGGCTGCCCTTCTTCCAATCCAGCTCTCTGCTATGGTCTGGGAAAGCAGTAGAAGATGGCCCAAGTCCTTGTGGCCCTTCACCCTTGTGGGAAGCTGGGAAGAAACACCTGGTTCCTAACTTCAGATCAGCGCAGCTCCAGCTGTTGGGGCCATCTGGAAGGAAGACCTTTCTCTCTGTCTCCCCCTCTAACTCTACCTTTCAAATAAATAAATAAAATATTAAAAAAAAAAAAAAACAAGAAAAAAATAAATGAGGCAAGGATGTGGAGAAAAGGGAACCATTGATACACTCTTGATCTTAATGCAAATTAATACAGATATGGAGAACAGCATGGAAGTTCTTCTATAAACCAAAATTAGATGTATCAATCATCTATCCCTTTTCTGGATATGGTTAAAAGGAAATTAAATCAATGTATGAAAGAGACACCTGGTACTCCCATGTAGGTTGCAGCACTATTCACAATAACCACTATATGGAATCAACTTATGTGTTTGTTGATGGATGAAAAGGTTAAGAAAATATGGAATATATGCACAATGGAATATTGTTCTGTGATAAGGAAAAGAAATTCTGACAAATTCATGAAAATGAGTGGAACTGGAGATCATTCTGTTAAGTAGAACATGGATGTAATGGGTTCTGGTGTCTTGAAGCACAGTACAGTTCAGTGACTATAGATATTGATACTGTATTATGTTCTTTATAAAGGACTGGAACAGAAAAGCTGGTGGGCTCTAAAAACAGAAAGATAAAGAAATAAGAAGGCTAATTGCCTGGTATGATCCATTTATATTGTGTGTATGTGTTGAACTATTGCACTATTCTCCTTAAGAATTTTGAGTTGTACATTAAAACAAAATTTAAAAATAAATTTAAAATGCACATGTAAACTGCTAGTTCCATATAACTAAATTATCCCTGAGGGTATTTATTGAACATTTTCTCTGTCTGTCTCCAAGCCTTTCGTGCACACTGTGTCTTGTATCCCTCACCCTCCTCAGTCTCGCTAGCACTAGGGAGCCATGTTTTTGTAAAATTTTCTTGACAGCTCTATTCATCTTTGCTCCTGTCTGAACACTTATTTGCTATAATGGCTTCCACAGATACCCTTCATTGTACTGTTATTGTATTGCCAGTTATAAATTTAGTTAGAGCCATTATATATATCAAACAATATTGAGAATAAAATATTCTTTCAACCTTAAATATGAATTTTTTCAGAACATGGCCCTGTGGTTTTATAATTTTAGCTGTTTTATTTATTAATGTAAAATATATTTTATAAAGAAAAATGAGGTGTAATCTATCCAGCTATGTCATTGTGAATATTAAGTTACTAGACTTCCAAAATTCTTATTTTCACTTTCTTTTCACTGGTTTTTCATTCTCTAGAAGTGTTTTCATTATTACTTCTCAAATAGCTATACATTTCTGACATTCATCTACTAATTTACTCTTAATTTTTGCATACTGTAAGTACTTCTTATGCACTGACTATGCCACAGCCACTGTGTGAAATTTAGACAGTTCAGTCATGATTACACCATAGTCTCTGTGTTCTTACTCATATGAATCTGCTCTATGTTACTATGCAGAAACATCTGGGGAGTCAAAGAAGGCTTCCTGAGAAAAGTGACTTTTAATTTGATACTTAAAGTAAGAGTTAAATATATAAAGAAAGAATTGGAGAGATGTTGGGACTGAGAAGCTTCTAAGCAGAAGGAAAAATGTGTACAAAGTCTCCAAGGCAAAAATGACCAAGGTGTGGTCTCCATTAAAATTAATGTGTGTAATAGTGAATACATTTTCAATTCACAATAAAACTACTAATACAAATGATACTATTACTTATTAGACTGAAACATCCTAATATTTAAATTGTAAGTTAAATATTTAAATTATATTCACCATGTCACCATGCCTTTCTAAAATAATTCATCAGCAAGAGGAATTTATTATTATATTTTTGGCCATGGATTTATTATGGACATCATCCACAATGGTTCTAAATTTCTTGGAACTCTTGTAGGAATTTTAAATGAGGACATTTAACAAGATTCATGTGAAGTTTTTCTCTAGGGGCAGTGTATAAGAGAGAAGGGTTTTGCAAAATTTGGTTTGGAACTTCAGAATTTAAAGTTATCTATGTTCCTTTTCAAAGCGCAGGGACCTTATAAATGGAATATTTTATAATGTATTACAGCTCTGAAAATTTTAACCTAGTAGAGTATCAAATTTAAATAAATTATATATAAATATTATGAGCAACCTGAATTTATGCCAATGAGCAATGTTGATTTTATTTCATTAGAAAATGCAAGAACCTCCAAAAAGCATTGAAGAATTCTTAAAGCTTCAAAACTGTGTAAGTAGAACATCCTATTTTATATGCCAATACATCCTTTAAAAATACCAGTATTTTGAAGTATAATATGAAGACCTAGAAAAGATTTTAAGAATAGAAATTCAAAAAAAATATTTCAATTAGGGAGGTGTTTATCAATATTAATCTCCCTTCAGTAGGATCTATGTTGTAGCCATTCCCTCAAGGCAATGCTTAATTATTTTTCTTACATTTTAAAAGCTCTAGCCCTATAGAAACATTCTGTGTAGTTTTTGCCAATGTAAGATTTTTATCTTATATATTTACACCTTGAAGACTGACAGGTGTGCTTACCTCATTTATCTATGATCCATGACTAAGATTTAATGTAATTTGTAGAGGTATTCATTAATATTCCTTGACTGTTGAATCACAGTGAAGTATCTCTCATGTTGAAAGCTCCAACTTCTGTCATTATTTGCAACTACTGGCTTTGTCTGGAGTTACTGGATTAGCTAAAGAGTTTTCCCTTGTCAGGTTTGTTTGGTATTGAGGAGTGTCAAGTAAGGGCCAGGATAAAGATGTTAGTGTGGAAGTCAGGAGAAAAGGTAGCTTTTTAATGAAGAACATTTGAATTTGTGTGAATTGGGGATACAAATAATTTGTATTTCTTTATGCTTAAGTATAAACAGAAGCATAATTTGATATAACAAAACTATTGACAATTTGATTTCAGAAATAATTATTTTGAACATGTATTCTCTGTTCTTATATCTATTTAAATAGATTTTCCCCCGATGTTTTGGAAAATGTTGTGTCGTCCCTTTATAGGTACAAATAGAAAATGAAAACATTCCTAGCCTGCAAAAGTTTATTTCAATCACTGTGATAGAGCCAAATATTCATAGTACTTTTGGGACAAGCTTTTTGCAGCTACTTTGTTTTAAATAGTGGTAGAGATGTCCTGAAACTTAATGACAATGTTTATGGTCTTTTTAATATTGAAGGGAAGGGATTATAGTTAACATTAATCTCTGGCCATTGCAGTCATTTGAGGAGTGTACCAGCAGATGGAAGACCTCTCTTTCTGGCTCTACTTCTCTCTGTAACTCTTTCAAATAAATAAAATAATTATTTAAAAAAGTAATAGAGACTTTTAGATAATACCATCATTATACCTGTTTCAGGACCCATGATTTTTAGGTGAAAATCTTTGATTATTTGAAGTGGAAAGCTCAAAACTCCTCTGTTTAAATTGAGAATGTAACCAATCAAATCAAGATGGTAGGTGTGTGCCAGACCTGACTAAATATAGAATAAAATAAAAATCAAAGTGAAAATCAAAACACATGTCATTTTAATTATATATGTTAGTGTATCATTGTATGCAAACAGCATATTTATATTTGTGTTTTCAAAGGCTCTATCTAGGGGTTAATTTTCTGGCATAACTATTAACACTGCTGCCTGCAACCATGACATCCTGTATGGGCATTGGTTTATATCCCAGTGCTTAAGCCCCTGCTATCCATGCGGGAGACCAAGAAGAAGCTCCAGGCTTAGTCCTGGCTCTACCCTGGCGATTATGGCCACTCGGGGAGTGAACTAGCTGATGGAATACCTCTCTGTCTCTCCCTTTCTCTGCAACTCTGACTTTCAAATAAATAGGTAAATCCTCCCTCCGCCTTTTTTAAAAAAAGGCTCTATCTATAACCTGCAATTATTTACACTTATAATTTGATAACACATTTCATAATTTATGGGTTTATTTTAAATATATTTTATTGTCTGTGTTTCCCAGCCAAATACTCAAATTCTGTAGTTATTTTATCAAGGCCTTTCCACATCTGTGCATTGCCAAACTATTGGATATTTGAGATTATCCAGGAATAAAATGACTAGATGCTGGCCGGCGCCGCGGCTCACTAGGCTAATCCTCCGCCTTGTGGCGCTGGCACACCGGGTTCTAGTCCCGGTTGGGGCGCCGGATTCTGTCCCAGCTGCCCCTCTCCCAGCTCTCTGCTGTGGCCAGGGAGTGCAATGGAGGATGGCCCAAGTCCTTGGGCCCTGCACCCCATGGGAGACCAGGAGAAGTACCTGGCTCCTGCCATCAGATCAGCGCAGTGCGCCAGCTGCAGTGCACCGGCCACGGCGGCCACTGGAGGGTGAACCAACAGCAAAGGAAGACCTTTCTCTCTGTCTCTCTCTCTCACTGTCCACTCTGCCTGTCAAAAAAAAAAAAAAAAAGACTAGATGCTTAATAGTTTGCTTGCTGGACAAAGTTTTTGTGTATAGTCAAGTAAGAAAGAAATAATTCTACTGATTCATTTAGGAAATTCTTTTAGTACCTTCTATGTACAAAGCATATAGACATTTATGATATGTCAGTGAATAAAACCAAAGATGTCTACCCTCATGAAGCTGTTATTATTTTAGAATTGAGGCATATTGTAAGGAAATAAATGAATAAAACACAAGAGAAGTGAAAAATATATCCTAAACTGCTTATGACTTTTTGAAAAGATTATTTTATTTTCTTCTTTGCTTATAAACTACAAAACTGGAGGTATATGTATAGTAGTGTGGTCTTTTAGAACAGAGTAGTTCGGTGTTAGATTTCCTATGTTCAAACCTTGACCCTGCTGAAGCAATAGAACAGAATCTGCAATCTACATGTTAGCTGTTGGTTTCTTAAAAAAAATATTTCTTTGACAGCAGAGTTAGAGAAAGAGGGAGGGAAGGAGAGATTGACTGACAGGCAGACAGATCTTCCATCTGCTGGTTCACTCCCCAAATAGCTGCAACAACCAGGGCTTGGCCAGGCCAAAGCCAGGTGCCTGGAGCTTCACCTGAGTCTCCTACATGGGTTCAGGGGTCCAAGCACCCGGGCCATCTTCCGCTGCTTTCCTAGGTGCGGTAACAGGGAGTTGAGTTGAAAGGGGAGTGCCAGGACTCAACCTTGTGTTCATATAGGGTAATGGTATTACAGGTGGTGGTTTAACCTGCTGTACTACAGTGCTGGCCACCATTAGCCATTAGGTATTTTTTATAATTTATCTTTTGTCACATGATCTAAAGGCCTCCCTTTTTTGCCATTTACTATCCATTTCTAAATCTCTTTTATAATTGTAATACTTTCCTCTCTATCTCTTGTTATAGATCTATGTACCTTTTTATTTCAGTAATTTGTATACTTTGATTATGTATGTAACAGTTGTTACATTCTTCCCATGTTACTCACCCTTAACTTTATTGCCATTTGTTTCTATTTTTATATTTCATTTGTATAGCATGCTGTCATTTTTTTTTTTTTTGACAGGCAGAGTGGACAGTGAGAGAAAGAGACAGAGAGAAAGGTCTTCCTTTGCCTTTGGTTCACCCTCCAATGGCCGCCGCGCTGCGGCCAGTGCACCGCTGATTCGATGGCAGGAGCCAGGTACTTCTGGTCTCCCATGGGGTGCAGGGCCCAAGGACTTGGGCCATCCTCCATTGCACTCCCTGGCCACAGCAGAGAGCTGGCCTGGAAGAGGGGCAGCTGGGACAGAATCCAGCGCCCCGACCGGGACTAGAACCCGGTGTGCCAGCGCCTCAAGGCGGAGGATTAGCCTAGTGAGCTGCAGCGCCGGCTGGCATGCTGTCATTCTATTTCATCATTGTCACCTCTATTATCCTATTCATTTATTTATTTTGTGAATTTTTACTACCTATTTATCAGGTATTTTTCTGGGTATATAGATATAGCAATGAGCAAAACAGGCAATAATTCCTATCCTTGTGAAGTTTATATCACCCTCACACTTCAGCCCCATTTCTTTCATATTGTCACACTTTTTATTCCTTTTTACTTCTTCAGATATTAAAGGTTGGTTCCAATTCCTTTCTTATCTATATATCACATTTGATCTTCAATGTTATTTACTTCTTATTCTAAATCTTCTTCTTTTTTCTTTCATAAACTTATCTAGTAGCACTTTAATTCATCATTTTATATATCATCAGTGCCAGTTTTTGTTAAGAGACTTACTAGGTTTGTAATCCAGATCTGGGAAGCACTTGGGTCCCCATTGTTATTTTTCTCAGAGGATCAAACTATTTTATAATAGAATTATTATTTCAACTCCATTATCTTTACTCAGGGAATAGCCTGTTTTATTTTTTTTACTTATCCTTCACTCATTCAAATCTCTCTTTATATAGAAGCCTAAGAAAAGGGAAGAAGAGCTAACAGTCACTTCTTCCTCCAACCCTAGTCATGCTTCTTAATTCTTACTTTTATTGGTTACTTCCACATGCCTGTGAGGTACAGGATGTGGGTGAAGACCTAATATTATATTCCTTAAGTGAAATCATTCTCCACATTTCAGGAAAGCCCTTTTGTCCATCTACTCTTCCTTCTCCATCTCTAGTTTTGTACTAGGATATAGTAATTTGGCTTCTGCCCCTGTCAAAGTTAATTGTTCCAGTTAAAAGAAACATAATAAATACATGGCTGATTCTTGTTCACTTACTTTTTTTTAAAAGATTTCTTTATTTGAAAGTCAGAGTTACAGAGAGGCAGAGGCAGAGAGAGAGAAATCTTCCATCTGCTGATTCACTCCCCAAATGGTTTCAACGGCCAGAGCTGCACAGATCCAAAGCCAGGAACCAGGAGCTTCTTCCGGGTCTCCATGTGGGTGCAGAGGCTCAAGGACTTGGGCCATCTTCCATTGCTTTCCCAGGCCATAGCAGAGAACTGGACCAGAAGTAGGGCAGCTAGGACATGAATCAGCGTCCATATGGGATGCCGGCACTGCAGGTGGCAGCTTTACCCACTACACCACAGCGCCGGCCCCACTTACTTTGTTTTTAATAAGGCAATTGTTCTACTGGAGTCACTGAAGAACTTAGTGCCAAAGTGGAATGGGGAACAGAATTTTCCAGTTGAATTCTTTTCTTCTTTTGGACTTTGAATCCACTTATTTCCTTTAAATTAATGTGATCTCTGTGGACTCTGGATGCTTCATCCTTTGTAATGCTTTTTCCCCTGAAACAGTAAAGACCTG